GTTTAGATCTTCGATATCATTTCATGCATTTTGTTTCTAAATTCACACTAAACAAATGCATTCTTTTTCACTATCAGTGATACTACAATTATCTTGACATCTTTGCTATTCATCTTGTTAATTTCATCTTTTCGTGATGATATGATTTAGTAATTTGGACTGAATCATGTTTGTATCAGGCTTCACTTCAATTTCGACTAATCGAAGGTGTACACCACTTTCATCTTCTTTATGATACAAAATCCAGGCCAACTTTCATAAACTTGAAACAATCTTGAGTAGACAAGTTAACTGTAACCGGCTTACATAAATCCGCTATTCAGACTTATTTTAAAATCCTTAGAGAAATGTCTATATCTAGACAAGAAGTAAGATATTTGAAAGTGCTAAAAAATTCAGTTTTACTTACTTCCTATACAATACTTAATATATAGTACTTCCCGCAAACGCCTTGGTACGGCTGGGAGTGGAGTCAACTCTCCCTTTCCAAATGCTCTCAAATGGTCACGTGCATACAGCCACTGACAGGGAAGTCCTACTCACTGCCTTCTCGAGAAGGGGGTGTTGTTTACGAAAAGGAGACGAAGAAAAACCAATGTTCGGAGCTTTAACCGGGTTGTTGGAAACAGAAGGTTGACCTAGGGGAGTTGTAAAATATGGGCACTTGCGCTCCAGAATCCTAAGGGAACAAATTTCGTATGAACCAATCGTTGGTTCACAAATGTCAGTTTTATATATGCCAATAATGATATTAATATAAATATCATATAACATGATAATATAATCTCTTAATAACATTGAATGTCTCATCTCTACAAAGACACTAACTCGTTACTGAAGATCGTTGTAAAGTTTATTACAAAATGATGTCCTTTCAAAACAACTGACAATTCAATACTTTTCAATAGTTCGTATACACAACTTATGAATTTATCTAAATTGGCAATGAGATATTTATTCATTGTTAGCTCCTTGTTTGAACATTTGTGCTACCTGTTCTTGTCATCTAGATATTTCAACAAGTTATCTAATGTTGTTCGTTTTAATACATCATGATGACTATTAATCACATAACCTATTTAGGTGAGTTTGTGAAAAGTATACAACCTTTCGTTGTACAAATTACAACAGGACCCAATCACAGTTATCATGGTTGTTGGCAATATGCATTGAAAAGAATGTACATTATTTGAGATGTCAATTGACTGGTCTGCTAACTCTTAACTAACGATCACTCATATTTATCGTCAGGATCGATGAACAATTAAGAAACAGAAACTTGTTGAAATACATTGTGTTGAGAATTCTATATTGTACCAAAAATCTAATAATAAGTAAATCGTATGAGAACAGTACCGCAAGGTGAAAACTGAAAATGTTGATCTATATGTTGAAACATTATGATTTAATCTGATTATAGTAACTATGAGAATGATCTGTAAATTATGGAGGTGTATACACCCTCTGTCTTACCTTAAACTAAGAGATTAAAATCACTTCATATCTTTCTTTCTGCGAACTATTCTCTCTTCCTGTACTATACTCTATATGCAATCTTTCTTCTATATATTACCTCCATTGAAGTAACTACGTCTATGAATCTAGTGTTCATCTTGCTATGCTAATGCGGTATGGCAACTCCCGACCGTAGCTGCAGCCTTGACGCGGTGGTCGGGCTTGCCTATCGTGATGACCCAACTGAGCTATATTGGCTGGAACATATGTTCCCGTAGGTTCTACCATGCCAGGCAGGTCGATTGGAGAACGGTAAGACGAAAATCAGCAACTCAAGTCTGAGGGAGAAGTCGTACTGCTGACTGTAGAGGGGTGTGACGGCAGCAAGGTGTTTACCTCGGACAACCAACATCTGCGGCTATGCTGCCTTTTAACAAGGAAGGAGGGGTTAGAAAAGGTCAGCCCTAAAAATGTCACACCTCACCTTACCTCACGGATTTCCGTTTCCGGCGGTAAGGCCCTTTGGAGAACGGAGCTAACACATTAACAACCTCCCACGAAAAGTCCGTGCGCGACCGGCCTCAAGCAGTTGTTCCTTGGGCTCTGCGGTCACGCTCCCAGTTCGTTAAGGCCAACATTAATCCAACTTCTTTTTCAGGTTCCTCAAGAAATACCCTTCCATGGTGTGGGCAGCCGGGAGGTCACATCAGCCCTCATACCCGTAACAACACACGAGACTGACTGACTGGTATGGCAACTTGAACCGATGCATATATGTGCCTGATCCTATGTTGTCCCTGACTGATCGATCTGTAAATGTTGAATTTTTGTGTTCATATTTCAATAAAGTCAGTAATAAGAATTTCGAAAACATTTACTATCTAAAACTTTATGATTTTCAACTATTTTTTGGATGATATTTGAGTTTCTGGGGGGTTTTCTTTTGAAAAAAACATCTACTTTATAGAATTGAATAGATGAAATTGTAAAAAAAAACTTATTGTGAAGCAATTTATTTCATTCATATAGGAAGATATAACATACAAGCCACTATCCATTTTTGCTTATAAAGCTTGTGACTTAAGGCAATATGAAGCAATACACATATGCAACAAGAGACTGATGAACTACAATCCTAAATAACAATCAAAAGATACAAGTAAAAGAAAACCAATTGAATTTAAAACTTCACCCCATTACACGAGCAGGTGGTTATTAGGACTCAGTACTAAGTGGGTAACGTGATGGCGTTTGAAGCCAACGGTACTGGGTTCAAGTCCCAGAGTGAACACCAACTCTGGGATGCAGGTACATCTAGCTGACGAGTACTAAATAAGACGAAACGCGCGTCAAAATGGATTCCATTGCTAATCACTATCCCTCTTTGCTAATAAATCTTGTAACCAAAGGCAATATCGAGGTAATCCACATAGGATGTACATATGCCAACAAGAAAATAATCAATTACAATCTTAAATAACAATGAGAAGATACGAGTAAAACAACACCAACTGAATTTATACAATTTTTTTCTTTTAAGAATTTATTTATCCAATGAATAATATACCCATAATATTTTACATAACTGGAAATGAAAATTATAATATCAGTAATATAAATATGAAGTTTATCCAGTCAGTCAGTCATTCAATAACAATGAAGAACTTCGTACGTACGTACATCAGTCCGAGTCGCCATACCACATTAGTACAGACACTGTGGACTTAATAATAATAATAGTAATGGTAGTAACAATAATAGTAGTAATAATAGCAATAATATAAGTTATTCCCAACGAACACTTGAACTCAGATATAATATTCTCTTATAATATTTTGCTTAAATTTCCGTGGTAACCTTCCTTTTTAAGTGGATCATGTTTTTCTTTTTAAGAAAAAAAAACAGAAAAGAAAGAACACACTTTACATTCAAGTACATCTAAGTGAATGTATGTTTAAACTATACTTACTTAAAAATATAAAAAATTTTCTTTTCTTTTCTATTCTCATATTAGTAAATTTTCTATCTACCAAATGTATATAAACTATGGTTAATAAATTTGTAGGTATCATTACTATGGTTTGACTTGATCATTTCAAATAAATTAAGTACTGAGTAGATTGTTGTAAATAAATCAATATTTACTTACCTACTTACTTACGCCTGTTATTTCTCATCAAAGAGCATAGGCCGCTCACCAGCATTTCTCATCCAACCCTGTCCTGGGCAATCCTTTCCAGCTCTTTCCAGTTGTTATTCATCTTTTTCATATCTGATTCTATTTCTGTTAGGGACGTTAGATGCCCAGAACTCACTTGGGAAAGGACCTAATTTTGCAATTTTATCTAGAAAATTTGAATTTCTTTATTTTCGCGCCAAAAACACTCTTGTCACCTTCATGTCGTATTTCCCACTGGGGAATATCTTAAATGCTATTGGTCCGTTGCGTCTTTTAGTATGCTATTTGGTAACTCACCCCAAGGACAGTTTTGTACTGTATATATACGTTTTGAATTGTGTTCGTTGCTGTCGCTCGTTTCTGGCTGTTTGCAGAACATACTTTCCCATTCCAAGCTTAAACTTCTCCCTATAGTTAGAGGGGCTGGGACGCATCAATAGCTAGCTTACTGGTCTTTGGTCACTGAGTCTTGTTTCTCGTTTGGAGATTAAGTGAACTCGTGATAGCTTTAACCCTAGCAATTTCCTGTCGTAATGTGGTCATTACCCAATGAGTTTCGTGACTCGGTGTTAGCCACTTCTTTAGAGTAAATAAATAAACAATCCAAAATTAATCTAAGTTTAAATAGTACAAAGATGATTTATTCTTAATGATTTTTCTTTCAGTCGAGCACAAGTCTACTCCGTACATTATTCTGTAACTATGAAACATGACATTTCATTACAATAAACATAAGTAGTTTGCTAATATTTGATTACAGGTATATTTGAAGCATTTCCCACCTAAATTGAAATCACAGAATGAGTGATAATAAGTTGGGTTATGTAGTAATAATTAGAGATGACTATTATTGGAGTTACGCAAGAAGATTTATCAAATAGTGAATATATTATAGAGTTGAACTTTGTTCACAGTGAAACTAGTCCCATTCTACATGATACACTGTTGAATGGAAGACAAACAGTAGTAGACAAACCCCTGTCACAATTCATTTCTCATTAACTTTACTAACATAGATGTGGGCGGAAAAGTAAGTACATTAGAAGAATAGAAAGATCGGTATAAACTTGTGCTACTGAATATATGTCAGAGTCTTTATCCATATTTGAGCTTCGGTCTTGAAGAATATCTTTCCTTTTAATTTGTGTACGTTTTTGTTATTCAACCCTTGTTAAGAATTTAATTCAGAATATGGTTTATTAGAACACTGTCAATGTCTAGAAAGACTAGTTGATTTACAATTACAAACGAACTGATCTTTCAATCACCTAGAAATTTAGATAACTATTTAGAAATTCCTACTAAGGTCAAACATAAATAATTCTTTTACAGAAAATTATATATTTTTTGATTTCATTTATTTCAGTTAAACTAATATAATCCGATGGATTGGTAGACAGTTAAAGTGGTCTTCAGTTGACCTGTGAAAGGGTGTTTCTCAGTTAAGCAGTAACAAAATGACCACAGTCTGGACAGCAAGCAATCTACGCCGACAAGATGGACGTTATAACAGTCTATCCAGAAGTCTAGGATCTTTAATGTCAATTGTACTCGATGAAGATAAATCTCCATCCGTGTTGATTTTTTCTAATCAATCACCAAGAGAGACTAATTTACAAACAAGTGTCTCTGTTGGTGATCGAGTCGGAGATGAGAATATTTTGCCGTTAAATGGATTAAGTTTTCGTTCATTACAAACGGACTCTTCTTCATCGATTGCATTTGTTGGCAAAAAAATTAAACGTGAATATCAATCGGCATTTGTATTACCTGATAAACAAACAATTGGTATTATTCGTCAAGAAGCGTTTATGACTGAAGAAGGTTTAGCTCAAGTCACGCTTAGTTTATGCGTTTCGACTCATTTAGATAGTTTAAAAGTTAGTAAAAGTGAAAGAATATGTGATTATCTTGATACGGACTATTGGGCTTCCATTTTATTAGCTTCCACTGAATCTCACGATGCTGAACTATTAGGATATATGGGACCTGAATATACTTCAAGAAAACCGAATCGTTTTAACTTTGAACGTTCTGAAAGCCGACGACGTAAACGAGAAATTGTGCTTGTTCAAGAAGAGATTGAAGATAGCGATGAGAAAGATAATGTTGGGCAATTTGATGGTAGCAATATTTTGCCTGAAAGTGTTACAGTGTACGAAAAAGTATATCCTAAAGAAAAGGATGAATATGATTCCCAGACACGTCGAGTAATCCTGCATCCTCCACCACCCCTTCCACCCCCACAGCTGCCAGAATCACCGCTGCCTTCACCACCAAAAACTTTAAAAGTATCTGAAAGAAATGCTTCACCAAAACCACAAGTAACTTCGAGTAGAAATTCATGTCAGCCAAAAGAACAAGCCCCAATAATTGGACGGGCTGAACCACCTGGAAAAACTAAACCAATTGTAAGTAGTCCGAAATCTAAAGAAAATTTTGAAAAACTTAAACGTCAATGGAATAATCGTATTGCTCAAATGCAAGAACATTTAGATAATCAGTATCGCGATACACCAACATCGCTACCACAAACTTATACAGAAGGACATCGTGGTTCTACAGTTACATCAATTCTCCCCACAGTAGATAAAAGATCTTCTGATCCATATGTAAAAAGTCGAATTTCATCTACTGACCAAAGACTCTCCCCTGAACAAGCATATGATCATCAATCTCTTCCGGATAGAACTTCAATGGATCATGGATCAAATAAAGAGAATTTTATTTTTCACAGCCTTGATTATATCAATTCATCATCACCGGGTTCCGGTGATCTAGTGGATCCGGTTACGGAACGTTGTGAAAAAGAGGCACAATTTATTTATAGTCAAGCAAGACTATTTGTTAATCAACAAAATATAGGCAGATTAAGTCCACGAAAATTATCAGGTAAACAAATTATTTTATTTATTATGTCATATTATTATTGTTTACTTAAGTACTGATTGATTATTTACTGTTTAATTAAAAAAAAACTTACCATCGAAACGATAAGTAATTTCAGTGATCGATTAATTAGTATCAGAGGGGTTTGGTGGAGATTATAGTAATTTCAATAGTTGAGATCATGAGTCAATTGAAGCTAGACAACCATGAAAAACCTCGAAGCACTGTCTGACGGCCGTTTCGTCCTATTGTGGGACTCCTCAGCAGTGCGCATCCATGGTCCCGCCTCGCGAGCGCTTAATCACTAGACCGATGAATTGTTTGTTCCCTGTTTTCCTCTACGAAATGAGAGTTTCACTGAGTGTAAAACGACAACTTAAGAATCAGTTGCAGATTTGTACATCGTAAAAAACAGTTAAGTATACGGAGTTTGATAGGATAAACTTTAAGCAAAGCAAGAAATATTTCGAAACTGATAGCTTGCATTGTTGAAGATTACCGTTTAAACGATAAGATATCATTATGTAATTTAAATCAAATTATTCATATGAAGGAAGTATTATGATTCAGCTAAATTGAACTATATAAAGTAGATTCTAAATATATGTGGTCTATTAACGCAATTTGAATTGTTTCATCATTCCTTTCAAACATACAATAAATTTGTGCATCAGATATTTCTTATGTGTAATACTTCAACAGTTTGTTACAATGATTGTAATGAAAGAGTCTATTTAAGATGAAATTTATTTTTTTCAGAAGTATTTAATAATTCATTTGGTATTATTTACTTGTATCTTTCGATTGTTATTTAGGATTGCAATTGATTAGTGTCTTGTTGGCAGTATGTGCATCCTGTGTAGATTGCATCGCTATTGCTTTGGATTACAAGATTTATAAGTAAATATTGATAGTGGTTAGCAGTGGAATCTATGACGTGTGTTTCGTTTTATTTGGGACTCGTCAGCCGGATGTACCTGCATTCCAAAGTTGATGTTCATTCCGGGGCACGATGGCTTTAAAAGCGAACGGTGTTGGGTTTGAGTCCTAGAGTGAACATGAACTCTGAGATGCAGGCACATCCAGCTGACGAGTCCCAAATAGGACAAAACGTGCGTCAAACTGGATTCCACTGCTAGCCACTATTCGTCTTTGGTTAGATAGTATTTAATAATGTTTAACAAGTTTTCATATTAGTCGGAATATAATCATGATATAATATCTGTTTTTTTATGTGCCATATATATTATATAATTATGGCATTTTAACTAATACTAAAACCTTATCTGCAATACGTCTGGATGAATCTAAATTAACAACATTTAGAGACGGAACAATCTGGTTAAAACAACTATTTTTTTCCATTGAAAACCTTTAATTAAACTAAAGTTCTAATTCCAATGGAATTACTGAGGCCTCTGATGTACCCAAGATTTTAATCCGTAATCTCTGTAAATCACTTCATTTAAATTTTTTAATATAGTTCAGAAAAGTCCTGATGTGGATATGTGATGAATGTTGACGGAGTGTTTGATAATTAACCCGTTATTTGATATGCATTCGAGTTTTGATAGTAATATAATGCGGTGATTGAAAAACCTAGAAGCACTGGGTAGGTCCTGGGTTCGAATCTCGCAGATGAGATCGTGAGGAGTCCCACAATATGACGAAACATACATCTAGTGCTTCGAGGTTTTTCATGGTTGTCTAGCTTCAATCGATTCATGATCTCAACTATTGAAATTCCTACAATCTTCACAAAACCCCTTCTGATATTCATTATAGTTTTATTTAAAACAGAAAGCATTCATGGATAATCTTTATAGATATCTTTACACAATCTAAAATTCTTATATAAAGTGTAAATTTTCATCTTTTCATACAAATAATAGTTCACTCAAATACTTATCCTTCATTGGTTCTTCAAGGTGATAGAATTCACCAAGGATGATATTTCTTTTATTTAAAGTTTTATCTAATTGAATGATTAATCGATTGTGATACTTTCAATAATGAACTACTCTCTTTATAACCTTAAAGTTATACTCCTAATTGGTTAACATTTAAGAATGACCTTGATCACCATAACATTATGATTTACATCTGAAAGTGAACTAACTAGTGTTTATATTTTGAATATTTCCATCAAGTACATATCTATTTAATTTTTATTAATTAAAATAATAAAGGTTGATTTTAATTAGATTGTAACAAGTCACCATGACAATCTATTGTAGGTATAAATCGGTGTTAAGTGAATGAATATTTATTGATTATATTGTACTCATTTTACTGTAAAATTGCATATCATCTTTCATGTGATCATGTAATGTGGAAAGAAAGAAAACAAAACAACAATGTACTTTATTTGTATCCATCCGTTTCTGGAAGATAAACAGCAAACGTTTTTTAGTCCTTTATATGTATATGTATATAGGAGCAACTAAACCAAAACGTGGCATCAGTACTTAAAGTCACTAACTTTAGTCTGAGTCATGTTGGTAGATGTAGACTACTTGGTTGGCGTTCGCGTGACTATCGTAACCAATAGTTGGAGACTGTGTGTGACATGGCTGAAAATCGATCACAATGGCTTTGGTGTATACACTCTATATCTTCCTTTAACTATGAGATTAAAATCGTTTCATATCTTACTTTCTATGAACTAATTCTTTCTTCCTGTACCATATCCTTATATGCTATCTTTCTTTTATATATTACCACCTCTGAATTAACTACTTCTTTGAATTTGGTGTTCATGTTGTTGTGACTTGGACTTGGACTGATGCGTATATGTGCCTGGTACTACGTTGTAACCGACTGAAATATATATATATATATATATATATATATATATATATATATATATATATATATATCGTTAGATATGTAGTTTGCTTAAATCCATGGTAAAAATTTGCAAATTGGATTTCCCTGTTATTAACCCCTTAATGGGTCAATTGTAAACTGAGTATTTAAGTGAATAGATAGATACATATGAATGTATGAAGTGATGATGAAACAGTATTCTTGAGTATATGAACAAACTATTTTATTGTCATTGTCATCATAATACCTTTGAATAAACGGTCAATCCTTATTTCTATTTGTTTATGTAACATAACTCGTCTTTAATTCATAGGATAATTATGGTGAGCTGTTAGCGGTAGAAACACTGATTTTATCCTTAATGGTGTTTGTTTCTTAACTCTGTTGGTTGTAAGCATGATACTTAAGTCAGGTAAATGTTCATTTCTTCATACTTCATTATCGTAGCAGCTCATTTAGTTGATCAGTCACATGGAAAACTTAATCGGTAAGATCTTGTAAGTTTTTTCAACTGGGTCTATTGTGAGATAGTAACTCACTGAAGACAATAGTGGATGTGTCGCTCAATTTCGTGGATTGGTCGAAGTTAAACATTAACACCGTTGGATGCCGGTTCAGTGGTATAATAGTTAAGCGCTCGCGCGCGAGACTGATAGGTCCTGGGTTCGAATGTCACAGGAGGCGGGATCGTGGATGCGCACCGATGAGGAGTCCCATACTAGGACAAAACGGCCGATCAGTGCTTCCAGGTTTTCCATGGTGATCTCACATCAGTCGGTTCATGTTCTCAACCATTGAAATTTTTCAAATGTATTGAATGCTTTATGTATGAAATTGTTCCTAAATTTCTCATCGGTATCACGAAATTGATGAACTGGAAATAGTCATTTTATAGTTTCCTTAAACTCAATCATCCTGTGAATTCGGACTCACTTATACTTGTCTGGAAAAATTATAGAGTATCACATTTTGTACAAAAATTTCACATAAATTCTATAATTACAGTCAATAGAATCTAATATGGTAAAATTCCGACGATACATTTTAAACTTTAGACATTCAGTAATCTTTAACATAACGGTAGTCAGAGCCCTCATGAATGAATACACATTTTGATGGAGGTTGTTATCTTTGTTGCTTGGCTTATTGTTAACACCTCATTCGTTTGTACATATTGTTTATTATCTTACCAAGATTGAATCAGTTTTGTATGCATAATAGAGATATTCTGACTAAGTGTTAGTCTTTCATCAGAACTCTTATTGTGAAAGCGATTTGTATGGACAGTGCTATTTTCGGAGTTATTCTCTTATTGAGAATTCACAAGTAATTTAAAACACAAGTCCACGGTTTTCTGCTGATTCCTACCAATCATCTGGTATCAAACAAAAAGGTTGACCATGATTTCCAGTTGGTCGTATTAGTTACTTCAATGTATTATGATCAACATAATCTAGTCACCTCCAAAGAATAAGCAAACTTGATACCTCAGTTTCACTGAGGATCATTCTTTGCCTAAGCCTCTTACTGTTAATACTTTTAATTATGATATAGATTGATCTATATTACAATTACCTGGACATCATCATTTCCATGAAAATTGTTGATACGCCTTAATGACGTGTACTAATAAAGCGAAACAAATGTGAGTCTTTTAGCTAATTTTCTCCAACCATCTAACACAAATCACATGACTACGTCGGAGATCACTAATTGATTTTATGGTTGTTATTTGAAGGATTCGGATAAAGCCACCGACGGATTCTCATGTTACATGTACCCTTGTAAGTTATGAACTAATCAATGTTCATTCACTTGATACTCTCTTCAATTTTAACATTTGTTTCTATGTTCATTTTTGTTTGAATTAAGTTCGAGACTGATATTGAAGAAACACCGCACACAACACATACACACATTAATACAAACACCAGATATAAGTGATAGACACTATTGAGTAGAAACTAGATCAATCTAGTTTTCATCAAAAAAACACAACAAACTTCTATTGTCATTTAATAAATTAGCATATTGATTCGAAGAAATGGATGCTGAATTTATAAATATATAATTCTGTTATGTGATACATCATAAAGATGGAACCAAGATATAAAAAGAGATACACCTCACTGATCACCATATCATTCATCTTGACATTGTATTAATGAAATATTTTGGCACACATGAAATATAACTATTACTTATTTTCAAAATCATGGTAAAACCTATATTCACTTGGTGTTGTTTACTTGTATCTTCCCATTGTTATTTAGGACTCCAATTGATTAGTCCCTTGTTAGCATATGTGCATCCTGTACGGACTGCCTTGACATTACCTGAAGTTACAAGCTTTATAAGCAAAGATGGATAGTGGCTAGCAGTGGAATCCAGTTTGACGCGCGTTTCGTCCTATCTGGGACTCGTCAGCCGGATGTACGTGCATCTCACAGTTGACGTTCACTGCGGGACTTTAACCCAATGCCGTCCGCTTCGAACTCCATCGCACAGTATTCACATATGCCAATAAGCGACTGATCAATTACAGTCCTGAACATCAATGAGAAGACTCAAGCAACCAATATCAAGTGAGTTTAAACTTCACCTCAGGACTCAGTAATTAAGTGGATAACGCGATGGCATTCGAAGCGGATGGTATTGGGTTTGAGCCTCAGAGTGAACACCAACTGTGAAATGCAGGCACATCCAGCTGACGAGTCACAAATAGGACGAAACGTGCATGAATTGGATTCCACTGCTAACCATTATCCATCTTTGCTTATGATAAAACAATTTGAATAGTATACAAATGACAAATAATTATGTATACGAATTTCCATACGGAATCATCAACAGGTAGACAGACTACATTAAGTTTAAATGTTCGTGAGTGACTGATTGCGTGAACGACTGACAGTTATGTGACGCTCATATTCGTTTCTATGTTCCAGAGTGGAGCATAAAAACACATTCAACTGGTATCAAACAATATTTCCATCGTGAACTTAGGAGGAACAACTAGGGTGTGATATCTTACTGTGAAGACAATTACTACTGATCTAAGCTGTGCTGATAAGTGCAGGTTTTTTGATTGAGATTCATGACATAACTGTAATCACTAGTTGAAGACTGTAAGGGATATGAATAGAGACCAGTTACAGTGAAAGAGGTTCATTTGCATTGTTTTAATCGTTCTTTTAGTTTTGAACATAATCTGATACATCAGCCTTCGTTTCATATCATGATATTATTATTTTTACTACTGTTTATAACATTATATTCACTTAGTTGTTTTAGTCATTTAGTTGTTTACTAGTTTTCCTATGTTCTGATGCAAAATATAACAATTTCGTACTAGATTTGAGGTTGTTGACATCATCTATCTTGTTATGTGGTCGCAAACTGATTCTCATTAAAATTACAGCAACATTTTAGTACATTAATCTAACTAGTCGCAAGTAAGGACAAATGCTCCCATGAATCCCACCGTTCAATACACTGAAAAGGAATGCTTGCATGACTTAACTTTATTTCATAAATATTCACTCATAATCATTTCGAAATCAAGAAACCCTGAACAATTGTTTCATTTCCACTTCGGATTTTTATTCTTTTCAAAGATCGTCAGTGTACAACACTGAAGAGTCCTACATTAGGATGAAACCATTACCATCTCCCTATTAGCTCTCAATAGTGTTCAGTTGGTGCTAATCCTTGAAAAAACTTAATTTCAGTTTAGAATTTTTACTTTTCATTAAAATCAATTACAGCTAGTCAATTTCTACTATGAGAAAATATACTACGCCTAATAGTCATAATATAATACTCCCTCTAATCAATACCATTTGTTTGATTACTGTATATAATTCTCAGTACAAAATATGCAATATTCTAACAAATTCGCGTTTTATAAGCATCCAACTGGGGAATATTCTAAAAAAATGTCTAATAAGCTCAAGAATAATCTTGTGCCCACGATATCTATGCCTACTATGTGCGGTGTATAAATTCTGTCAGTCAGTCACAACGTAGGACAGGCACATATACGCATAGTTCCAAGTTGCCATACCTCATTAGCACAACAACATGAACACCGATTTCATAGAAGTAGTTAATTCAATGGTGGTAATATATAAAAGAAAGATGGCATATAAGGATATAGTACAGCAAGAAACAGTTAATTCGTAGAAAGTAAGATATGAAGCGATTTTAATCTCATATTTTAAGGGATGACAGAGAATGTATACACCTATGCCATTGTGATCGATTTTGAGCCGTGTCACACAGAGTCTTCAACTATTGGTTACGATAGTCACGCGGACCCCAACCAAGTGATCTGTATCTACCAACATGACTCAGACTAGAAGTTCGTGACTTTAAGCACTGATGCCACATTTTGTTTTGGACACCCCTAACTTTCTTTCAACCATCCCCAACACTAGTCAGCATTGCACGTCATGGTAATCCGTATTCAGGCATTTTCTCAAAAGATAAAGAAGAAAGGAATTAATATGAACCACTGTAATGGGACCGTTTGAATTCTTCAGTAACTAGATTTTTGATAAATTGTAAACGTTTATAAATACTTATCGGTTTACCTTGTTGACAGACAGGTTGTTGATAAAAAACAATCCTAGTAATAAGTGGATGTCTAAAAAAGCGGCAATCTAGAAGTTTGAGAAAATCTCCCAGTTAGATGAAGTTAATAACTATAACAATAAAAATGGTCCTATAATTAGTTCAAATGATATGCAGTGAACGAGAAAACGGGCGAGGACAACCAGCCGTATTTTGACATTACAAAATATCTTGATCAAGTCTTAGAATCATACAGTTAATACTTCATTTGCAAAATATTCATCAATTTTCTCAGACTTGACTGTTCCTTCATCTCCATACCAATCGCTCTTTGTTCTCGTTCTCTTCTCTCCAATTTCTCAACCTTCTGCCGCTAGGCATTCCACTTTTGACTGACGATACAAACTACTTATATCTGTCGACACCAGTAGCACCCACCAAAGACACAGTATAGAGTTTTCTTTTTTTTGTTTGTTTGTTCTAATATCTAAAGTAGATTAAAACTTTGAAAAACAGTTAATTGAAGTTCTGTCACATTCAAGGATAAAGTGTTTTGTGAATAATTATTTTCTAGATGGAAAAGTACTATGGAAGTGTTATAAATGGAGTAAGAGATAGAAAATGTTGACTAGTAGAGTGAAAAAAGTTTTTTTTTAAAAATTATTTTCAATACAAATACTATACATTGTTGGTTTGCATTTCTGGAATTTAAGATGTGTACAAAATATTGATAACAAATTGTATTGGAAAAAAATGTAATAAGATAGATAACTGAAAAACACTTCAGGTTTGATGTAGTATGACACTATTGAGCAGTAAATATCAATGGCTTCGCTGGGGATCAAACAGCGGACTTACAATCTTTTCACCGGACACAACCTTTAGATCACTGACTTGTCATCGAATGGTTAACATTCCTAATTTCACTTATACTGCGATGTCGCATAACTAATCGAGCTAGTGTTTCACACCTAACATGGCTGAACTTTCCCACTAGGACACCAGGAATTACCTTTTGAAATTAATCAACAACAAGCACATGATACTTATTTTAGTATAAGGAGTTCTGTTATTTTACCTTAGTTTTGTTCATTAGAATCGATTGTTTTCATGCATTTTTTTTGGGGTGAATGTTTTAAAATTGGTGATTAGTCTAATTTTATAATATCTCTCTAATTTTTTATTAAAGTCCCTTAGTAATCGAACTTTCCACTTTGCAGATTACTTACTTACTTATACCTGTTACCCCCAATGTAGCATAGGCCGCCGACCAGAATTCTTCAACCCTCCTCTGTCCTGGGCCTTCCTTTCTAGTTCTATCCAATTATTGTTCATTCTTATGTCTGTCTACATTTCTCGGTGTAATGTGTACTTCGGTTTTCCGCCTCTCCTTTGACCTTGAGGATTCCAAATGTGGGCTTGCCTCGTGATGCAGTTGGCTACCTTCCTCAATGTGTGTCCTATTTACTTTAGCGCTTCTTCCTGATTTCTTGCTCCGCTGGGATGTGGTTTGATCTCTCCCGCAATACGTTATTGCTGATTATGTTTGGCCAGTGGATCTGAAGTATTTTGCGTAGACAACTATTAATAAACACTTGTATCTTTTGGATGATGGGTTTCGTAGTTCTCCAAGTTTCCACCCCATACAGTAGAATTCTCTTGATATTTGTGACTTTCGTGTTGGTTGACAGTTGCTTTGAGCTTCAAATGTTCTTCAGTTGTATATATCCTGATAGTTAACAGTTGAAAGTCTAATGGATTGGTCATTGCATTCTTTGGTCAAAAGTAATCATTAAATTTGTAATTTTGTAAAAAACTGTCCTGAATTTACACAGAGTGTAGCATTCCTCACTCAACTAATTGAATATATAAATATTGGTATATTGATATTTCTTCGATAGTTTTAAGTATGGGGTTGTGGAGACTATTACGTTTTTGATTTAGATCATGAACCAATTGATGTGAAACCATCATTGAAAACCTTGAAGCATTGGTCAGCCGTTTCGCCCTATTGTGATGCTCCTCAGGAGCGCACTCCCACGATCCCGCCTCGCGAGATTCGAACCCAGGACCTATCGATCTCGCACGCGAGCGCTTAACCTCTAGACCACATGGTCGATATTCAACAGTGTTAATATCTAACCTCAACCAATCCACGAAATTGCCCGACCATCTTTCATTGCATTGCTGAGGTGTGCCACAATAGGACAAAACAGCCGTTCAATACTTCCAGGTTTTCAATGATAGTCTCACATCAATCGGTTCATGATTTCAATCATTTCGTCGATAACACAAATAGCTGTAATATACCTGAATGTATGTTTATGGGTATACATATATATATATATATATATATATATATATATATATATATATATATATATATATATATATATATATATAATATATATTACACCAAGAAATGGATAATGATGTAGTTAGTTTTCTATTTCCGTTTCTCATCAAGAACACATCACCTAGTTATTGTTTTATCCTTTTTCCATGCGAAAAAAAAAACAATCAACACAACACAAACAAATCATACATTCTTGTCTACTTATAGAGAGTAGTTCAATGAATGATATAACTAAATTGAAGACATCCAATTTAAATCATCAACAATTTGAACAATTATTAATAGATAACACCGTGAAATATACTGAATTAAACAACAATAATCAATCATCAATATCATTTCTAATTGATAAGTTGAATATAGAACAATCATCGAAACAAGCTTATATCTATCAATCAATTTATTCACGTTTTCCAATCACTATTAAAAATATAAGCTCATATCATCAAAATAATAATAATAAATTGATTACTAATAAAATCAATAATACTATGATAATGAAAGAATTATTCAATAAATTTGCAAAACATGAATTAATATTAAATCGTAAACCAACTTATTCATTTTATATACCAATACAATTATCTACTACTGAATTGAATTTACATCGATATAGTAAAACATTGCCAAGATATAATAATAAATATGATATGATTATCCATGTCAATGATTTGCATAATTCATTAGACAATAATAATGATGATATGAATATGAAACAATCAATTAGACATAGAATGTATACATCGTTACCACGTACAAAACATGCATTACTTTATTATTCTCAACCAATTAGTCCAAGAATAGTTTCAAATTCTTCCATAGTAGAAGATCAACAACAACAGCAACGAGATATTCATTCAGAGTTTAGAAACGGTGAATATGAGTTATACATCTGGCTTTTTTTTAATTGTTTTCTTCTATCTTCACCATGCGAGTGTAAACCATATGCTTATAAATTTAGGTTGATTTAAAACTGCACAATCATTTGATTAGCACATAGCATCAATGAAATATCTGTATCTATATATTGCATAATATGACTCTAGTGATTTATTGCTTATGTTTATGCGTTTGATTAGCTTTTGTTAATCACTTTGATTCCTCGAGTTTTCTTCTAGCTTATAACTTTTTTTAATGGAAATAGATTAGTTTGTGCCTTGAAAGTTGCTTTGTGTTATCTTTTTTTAATTATTGTATCATATGTTGTACTTAAATTCAAAACGGAGAACAGCAATCCATTCACTCTTGATGGTGAAACTCTGGAAGATGTAGAATCCTTTACATACCTGGGAAGCATCATCGATGAACAAGGAGGTTCAGATGCAGACGTAAAGGCGAAGATTGGCAAAGCAAGGGCCGCATTTATACAATTGGAGAATATATGGAACTCAAAACAGCTTTCAACCAATATTAAAGTGAGAATCTTCAATACGAACGTCAATATAGTTCTACTATACGGATCTGAAACTTGGAGAACTACTACAACCATCATCAAGAAGGTACAAGTATTCGTAAATAGTTGACTACGCAAGATACTCAACATCTATTGGCCGGATACCATCAGCAACAGCCTTTGTGGGAGGGAACAAACCAGCTTCCAGCTAAAGAAGAAATTAGGAAAACACGATGGAAATGGATAGGACATACATTAGGGAAATCACCAAACTGCATCACGAGACAAGCCCTAACTTGGAATCCTGAAGGAAGGCCAAAGAACACATTACGTCGGGAAATAAAAGTAGATATGGAAAGGATGAATAACAGCTGGAAGGATCTGGAAAGGATTGCCCGGGACAGGGTTGGATGGAGAATGCTGGTGAGCGCCCTATGCTCCTTCATGAGGAGTAACAGGCGTAAGTAAGTAAGTAATCATATGTTGTTGAAGTTTCCCTAGATTTGACTAATAGTTTTGGTTTTTTGTTTATAACGTTTCTCTATACTATATAAACTTAAGAGATCTCCAGATAATTAAGGATTTGAAAAAGGGAACACACTTTATATCTGTTATATAGTTTAATCCAGTTCATAACCTATTTTCGTTATATCCCGATGAGAATAATAAATGGTAACTGTTAGGATCTATTTATGGACCAGTACGATACCTATATTTTTATTGTATAATTGTTAAGTAGCTCAACTATGCATATTCATTTTCCTTCTATTACAAGCTTTATTTTGACCTATAGACTATTATTATAAGTGATTTACCATTCTTGAGTTATTACCAGTTTATCAACTACAGTCTCCCACATTCACAACCACATTTGACTTAATCTTGTACAAATGTTGTTTCCTATTTTACGGTACAATGTGATCTGTTTGGTTTGTATATAAACCCGGTATGTTTGAAATACATGATTCATATCACAGAGGCTGAGATTGATGTTCTGGACTTAACAGTCAGGGAAAGGCAGGAAGCAGGACCAATAAGTACTCTAGACTGCTCGTACGAGTTTTTGTAAGTCGTTGGTCCGGTCGATAAACTACTACCCTCTAACTGGTGGTATCACTACGTTATGTATTAATAGGGCACAAGGCCAAAAGTTATATCACATATATTTATTCAATAAATGCGTATCATAAAACCTTTATTTTGCAAAACATAGGGTGAATAAATCTTGTATCATTCAAATGGCTTCCCATTTATTACAGTACACTAGTGCTATCTATTATTCCATTGTTCAGAATAATTTTTCATTGAGATCATGAACCAATCAATATTAGACCACCATTGAAAGCCTGAAAGGACTCGACGGCGATTTTGCCCTAGTATGGCACCCTTCAGCAGTGCTCATCCACGATCTCGCATGCGGGACTGGAACCCAGGATTTTAGGTCTCACGTGAACGCTTCACCTCTAGACAACTCAGTTGACATCAAACGATGTTGATATCTAACTTGAACCCGTACAAGCAGTCTAGAGTCTTTATCGTCCTGCTTCCTGCCTAACCCTGCCTATTGAGTTCGAAACACTAATCTCAGCCTCTGTGATATGAATCATGTATTTCAAACATACCGGGTTTATATACAAACCAAACAGATCACATTGTACCGTAAAATAGGAAACAAAATTTGTACAAGATTAAGTCAAATGTGGTTGTGAATGTGGGAGACTGTAATTGATAAACTGGTAATAACTCAAGAATGGTAAATCGCTTATAATAATGGTCTATAGGTCAAAATAAAGCTTGTAATAGAAGGGACATGGATATGCATAGTTTAGTAACTTAACAATTATGCAATAAGAATATATGTATCATATTAGTTCATAAATAGTTGTCAACTGTTACCATTAATCATTCTCATCGGGATACAACAATAAGTATATGCAATGTTCTTAAAGCTTAAATTTCGTAATTTAATTGTTGGATTCATGAGTCAATTGAAGCGAGACCACCATGGAAAACCTGAAAGCACTGAACGAACGTTTCATCCTAATATGGGACTCCTCAGCAGTGTGCATCCACGACACCGCCTTACGAGATTCGAAGCCAGAACCTATCAGTCTGACAAACATTTCGAATTTAAGAACATTTGACAGTTTTCTGATAGATTAATTGAAATATATTACCGAATTATTCAGAATGTGGTTTACTTACACTCAGTCGATTACTGTTTTAGCCAATTATACCGTCTATCCAAACACAAACCTTTACTTTGATGGCGTTTTGTTCTCTGAGATGGATGGTTTGGTCGTGGGGCTTTCATCGTTTCTTCTGAACGACATCATCAGCACAAACTTCAGATAGAAGTGAAGTGTTCGAATTTCTCCATATGCGTTTTACAGCTCGTTCTGTACACCTTGACGTTGATCGGTTCTTATTGACCTTAAATTCGTCATTGTTTACTTCTTTGTTTTGGTTGTGTCTCTCATTGGTTTGATTTTTGTCCCTATATTTGTGCATAATTTTCCTGATTGGTTGATAAATTGGATCGATTTCAATGTGCTTGTTGATTGCTGATTGACCTGAGTACCAGGCCTCTAAAAATTCTCTGGTGTTTTTGGAATTTCCTCTGTCCAAGATTTCCACATTTTTCCAATCGAATGAGTGTCCGCAGTTGTCCACGTGTATTGATATAAGTGAGAAGATATCATGGCGTTTGACTGCTAATTGATGTTCATGTAGGGGAAGATGAAGAGGGCGTCCGCTTTGTCCGATGTAGCGTTTTTCGCAGTTGGCACAATTTATTTTTTAGATGATGTTTGATTTGTTTTCCTTTGTTATTTCATCTTTTGGTTTGCATAGGATTGATTGTAGTAATTTTGTCGGTTTGTGTGCCACACCTATCCCGAAAGTTTTCAGCAGTCTCGTTGCGGTTTCTGACATGCCTTTTCTGTATGGTAGGGCGATCCTTTTGTTGATTTCTGTGCTTGACTTAAGTTCTGATGCTGCGTGCGGTTGGTATTTTTTGATGAAGTTGATTGGGTAGCCATTCTTTTGTAATATATCCTTCAGGTATTTCTCTTCATTTTTTCGTGCTGCCAGTGTGCTGCAGTGTGTCCTTTTACTTCAACAGTGGATAATTTTATATTATTTTGAAACATCTTACCCATTAATGATTTGTTTGTGAATATTCAAATTTTTACCTGCATTGATAGGAAAGATTACTCAATTGTAAATGCAGTTTAAATCAAATTACAAATCTAACAACTCTATGAGTTTGTTAATAGATTAAAACTGTAGGAATTCAATTTCCGAATGGTTGTATTTTTTAATTGTTGATATTCAGAAGTGTATTAGATCAATCTATGTTGGTAAATGCCTCGATTAGCCCCTGTGATTAAAAATGTGATTACGGTTGTTCACTGACTTGAGAAGATGCTGATATGGTTTGAGTATCTGTATAAAAATCAGCATGGATGTAGATATACTCAGCTGATATACCTTATACAGAACTAAGCACAAGTCCTGAACGTCTCTGTTAGCTAGAATATAAGATATGAATCATTTAACATTGATTGACTTCATTACAGAAGCTACTTTAGTCTCAACATATTCAAGAGATATATATAGTTATAAAGCTTTACAAATCTTCAAAATCTAATCATGTATCTAGTTGATATTTTTGATTAAAACTAAAAATCAAACTTTCGATTGATGATACATACTACTTATAACTGTCAACAACAATAGCACACATCACATGATAACTTAAGAGAGTAATCAAAATTAACCAATCAAATTATTGATTTAGAAAGTTTTCAGTAGTTACTACATTCATTGATCTCTTGCATACTAACAATTTCAAGAGTTATTTAACATAAATCAATCAAATACATCTTTACTGGCTGGTAACTTTTTCTTTTCTTTTTATAATCCAATTTGGTTGAAATCGGTGATTAACTTCTATAAATCACTTATTATGATTTACATATAAACATCCCGTTTTTTTGTGTTTACCATCTTTCACCTTCTTTTTTTTTGTGAGTGCTGTGTGATGTTTCTCCACTGTGTTTTTGTTTATTGCCTATGCACTTATGTTGTGTGTTCACATATATATCTAATGTTATATAAGTATGTGGTGAGTAAAATTAGCATAAATGCCGTTTTTTTATTGAATAGTTTGAGAAATCCCTCTCATCACAAAGTTGCTATAACCTCCACACACACATATATACACACAAAATACTGATTGCGTAATTTGTGCTAACCCATACACAAATTCATAGTCAATAACTTGTAACCATCATGTTAAGTAATCTATATCAACAACAACAAATTCCTTTGAATTATTTTACAGGAAGTGATCTAACCTATCATGAAAAGACGAGTTATTCAGACATTTATTATAAAGGTATGTATTACAGTCCCATTAAAGAAATACTTTTCTTATTTGAATTCTACTAATAATTATTAAACAAACAAAAGAAACTGTAGTTGAGATCATGAGTCAATTGAAGCTAGACCACTATAGAAAACCTGGAAGCACTGGACGGCCGTTTCGTTCTATTGTGGGACACGTCATCAGTGCACATCCACTATCCCTCCCTATTCAGTCCTTCTAGGTTATCCATGATGGTTAAGCTTCAATTGACTCATGATTTCAACTATTGAAATTACTAAAATCTCCACAAAACCCCTTCTGATGCTGAAAGATTGCCTAATTAAACATGTACTGAAACCCAGTAATTTTACGCTAAAATGCCAAAGATATGTGAAGCATAGAACAATACATACAATTGAACAATTGTTTTCAATTAGATCGTCATCAGGCTTTACTCTACTTTACATGAATATTTATACGAAAATGTAAACCAATCAAGGCAATATGAGTCAATAAACACAATGAAATAGAATAAGTCTCTACACATAATAGGTAAAAGTACAAGTTGATAGTAGGAAGACAGGTGTAATGATCGTAGTAAGAATAATAAAATACGATAACAAAAGTCTTATCAATAGTTAGACATTAGAAATAAAAGGTCAAACGTGGGTAAATTGACTTAGTGGTAAGCGCTTGTTTAAGCGCTCAAGCGCGAGACTGATAGGTCGCGGGTTCGAACCTCGCGGGAAGCAGGATCGTGTATGCGCATTGCTGAAGTGTCCCATACTAGGACGAAACGGCCATCAAGTGCTTTCAGGTTTTCTATAATGGTCTAGCTTCAATTGACTCATGATTTCAACTATTGAGACTTAGAATAATCATCACAAAATATTAATACCATTATGTAATAAGAAGTGTGTAAGTAATTAGATAGTGAAGAACACAAACGGAAAGAGGTGACAAATTACAAACAAATATCGGGTGTGAAAATAATGTTAATGGTAACAAAAAAATCGTTTGTTAAGTCATAACTGGCTATGGAAGGGATAGAGGGGTCACGAGTTTCTTCTGTACACATAAATATGTAAAGCAGTCAAGTTAAAGTAATTTTTACACCATTTGTTACCACAAATATTTCATTCGATAAAAAGTAAGAAGTTCGAAGGAATTTGGTATGGCAATTTGAACTGATATATGTACGTACGAAGTTCTACGTTGTTGCTGACTGACTGACTTCACATAGTTCATTCAACTGTGTACGAAGGATTAAGAAATATTTCCTATCATACTCAGTTTTATTTAAGGTTTGAACTTTTAGGTTCTACTTGCAATATATTAATATACCTATTTTCAACTTATGGCAAAATTATTTTCATCTTGGAAGAAAGTTAATTTTACTGTTTCAAAGACGCATGATTACTGAAATCAGATAAATAATAAATGGTTATTATAAGCAAAGATAGATATTGGCTAGCAGTGGAATCCAAGACGCGCGTCTCGTCTTATTTGAGACTCGTCAGCTAGATGTACCTTCATCTAAGAGTTGATGTTCACTCTGGGACTTGAACCCAATACCGTTCGCTTCAAACGCGATGCCAATAAGAGACTGATCAATTATAGTCCTAAATATCGATGAGAAGATCCAAGTAAACAATGCAAAGCTAAATAAATGATTATGTTATTCTTTTACTACTTTAAAGAAATAAAGTAGTTCAAAAAATCACACCAAAGATTTGGGGGATACATTCAACCTTAACACCCTTCAACTCTTTAATAAACACATATTGCAAAAACAATCCTGTTTAATCTTTTCCATCTAGTATACATCGCTCACGATTAACACACTCACAACCTTCATATGAAATTGTAACAAAGTTGTTTTAAGTACACATAGGACACACGTTATCATTGAATTAGTTTATTAGCGCATCACAGTTAACGTCAAATTAATATTCACATTATCATCACATTTATTATACATACACTTGGATAGTTACGGCGTTATTTTAACCACTTTACTCAAAAAATTAGTATTTATTTTAATTAGGATATAATTAAACAATTTAAGTCTTGAATAAGTTTCTTATTTATCACTTACAATATAGTTCCAATGATAATTGGTAATGGCTATTGTTATTACTTGTGTTTACTTTGTGTTGTTTATGAATATTTTTCTTTCATGTTGTCTATGTTATATCACTAACTATCATTGTTGTTGTGGATTCTATGTTGTATATTTATTCGTCTTATTTTCTTGATTTATATCCTCCACCACATCAACACTTGCCAACGTTATCTAATCACCACCTTATTACACATTGAAAAACAAACAAACAACATCATCAAGCAGATGATCCATCAACTGATAGAAGTGAGGAATTTATAAAAATATTCACTAAATACAAAGCATCATCAGAAATAAACTATTCAACAAAAAATAGAATTCTTTTAGATATAGATCAAAATCAATCACCTATTTTAACAGGACCACAATTATATCCATCATCAACTGATCTAAGTTCATTAGTAAGTCCTAGAGGTGATCATTTCAAAAGTTATCTAAATAGATATGTTGAACGATCAGAAAAATATTGGAGTCTTCCAAAAAGTTATTTTATAGCGGATGAACCGGTTAACAAAAATGAAACAACTACTAAACAATATGATTCAATGAATGATACATTGAAAGATTTTATATATGATAAATTCAAACCGTTATCACCAATGACTGAAGCAAAAACTGATATAAAACTAACATCAAATCAAGATAAAGACAATTTACATCTTCTCTTTTAAAACCATACAAATCTTACACAACAATTACTACTAATGAAAAGGATTCACAACGAATTAAAGAAAGAAATCAAAATGAGAAATTCAACACTGATGACCTCTTAAGTAAAGCATATTATGATGAAATGAATCGATTGAGTAAAAGAAAATCATTAAAAATGGATGAATTAAGTAGTACATCAAGTTTAAGTATTTTAGCAAAGGCATATGAAGAACAAATAGAGAATCATAGAAAACAAATAGATAGAAAATCGACTTCAATCAAAGGAAATGATAGTAAGACTACTGATGAGTTAGGTGAACATAAATGTTCATCTAAGCCAATGAAACAAATTAATGAACAGGAAAATAAACTAATGCAAAGTGATATATTGTCTGATCATCAAGGAAATAATTTAACTAGCGGTGAAGAAGTTACAAAGTTTGATGTTCAAAAACCGTCAAAACCTGAAGTGATTCCGAATTTACCACCCTCTGTATTGGACATCCCTAAACGTTTAGAACAATATGATCGAATAAGTAAACATAAAGATTTAAAACCTGACATTACACATCAAATTATCACTGATGATAAGATTCCTGGAAAACCACATAAAGATCATCTCAATGATCAGATGTTAAAACAACATGAATTAAAGCATCATCGACATCCTCCTCCTCCACTTCATCATCATAAAAGTTCTACAAAGGATGAAATTTTGGAGAAATCCACTGGTGATACACATAAACGTTCATGTGACGGTCCAATGTCATTTGCGAAATTCAAAAAGAATATGATTTCAGATAACCTGCCAGTGGATGAAGAGCATAGCCATCATCAAGGTCGCCATCTGTCTCATGACGAGTCAAAAGTTTTTTCAAGAGATTCAAAGTTTAGAAAGCCAATACATAACAATGAAGGCCAAATTGGAACTCCACTTGCTCCTAAAAATAGCTTTGAAGACAAACATACCAATAAGAGTAAGATGGAGCAACAAATAAAAACGGAAAATCCGAAAACACAACCTTTGGATACAAAAGCTTCACGTAATTCAGAAGAAAACCATGGAGAATCTGTGAAAGGCCAAGGACGAAGTGAACTTGTTAAACGAAATAAAACACATCATCAGTCACTAAGATCTAAACAAAACAAACCTCATACATCTATAACTTCAAAAAATGATCGTATTTCATCTTGGGTTGAAAATAGTAGATATCAAACAAGGCAACTATTACAAGATGGTATGATTGACGTCGTTCCTCAGGCTCAACCTCAAAAATCTGATTTGAAAAGACATCAGTCTTTAAATGAAAAACGGAACTCCTACAAAACTGATGACAAAATGAAATATAGGCATTCTGATGATCCTTCAAAGAAGCCCATAAAGAAGGACAGTATAACTTCTGATTACATCGCTTCTAAACTACCTAAAGCACATTACAAATTAAATGATCAGAAAGATCCTACAAAACCATTGGATAGTAATCAACTGAATAAAATTGATAGTTTAAAAGATACTCATAAGAAATCAATCATTGAAAAACAACAACAAGACCAAAATAATAAAGATAATATTGTAAAAATACCTGACATAAAACAGGAAGAGAAATATCCATCTAAAAGTGTGCGTAAACAACATCCTTCCGACGAAGTAAATAATCTGGATGTCGAACAATCTGTTGGAGGAATTCCACATCATTCAAAGCAATCCAATCCAAGTAAAACTAAACAACCCTTAAAAGAATGTGATGGTAAACAGTCAAGACTATCAATAAAAAAGCAATCATATACAAAAGATAATGATAATGATGAAGGCAAGAGAGGAAATCTTACGAAAAACACTGATGAAGTATTAAGTCGGTCGAAACAATCCATTGAATTAGATCAACATAAAAGAGAAAAGATAATGTACCAGATCGAACAGGTAACTTGAGTTTTTATATTGCTTAATTGTAGTGCAGTTATAAAATTTAATAAATTGATTTACTGCTTAGATACTATTAATCAATTCAAAATGGTAAGACACTTCCTTTTAATATATAATAATTCACATTTTACATTGGGTTATGTAATTCAACTGGTGAACGTTATGGTCAATAGTGTTAACCAAAATATCTTTACTTGATATTGATCGGTGTGGTCTCATAGACAGCTTTAATAACCACAGACTATTAAATGGAATATATATATATGTATATCACAAGAGTATAACCAAAGATAACAAATTAACAAACAGTTGTTGGTAATAATTTTTGTTTCTATGAACAGGTTTTCATATTTGATGTTGTTATTCGTATACGTTGATGACAATCTAATTGTTCACTTATATGTGTTGTTCCAGTCTATGTTTATGTTAACTTCTTTCTGTTCATTATGCACATAGTAACTGGTGTTAGTATTTCTGTTTCTTTTTAGTTTCGATTATTTACTTTATAGCATGTTAAATTCTGATTATTACTAATCAATTGTTCATACCTAAATTCATCAAACTATGTATGTTAAATTCTTCGCTTTATGGCTCACCTACTTGTGAGTAGTATGACATATTTCGGGAAAATAACAAGATAGTAACTCACCGCAGACTATGGTGGGTGTGTCGCGCAATTTCGTGGATTAGTTGAAGTTAGACATTAACACCGTTGGATGCCGGCTAACTCAGTGGTTTAGTGGTTAAGCGCTCGCGCGCGAGACTGGTAGGTACTTGACTCGAATCTCACGAGACGGGATTGTGGATGCGCACTGCTGAGGAGAGCCCCATAATAAAACGAAACGGCCGTTCAGTGCTTCTAAGTTTTCCATGATGGTCTAGCTTTAATTGACTCATGATCTCAAATATTAAAATAACAAAAAAGCCTTTGGCACATTATTCATGAAAACATCATTGTTTCTCAAACAAGTTTCTTAGATAAATCTTGAATATCAGCGAGGATTGTAATGTTTTCGCGATCAGAAAATTTTATTTCTGTTCATCACTTCATTGGTGACCAGAGTATTTTTATTAATGAACTTTTCGTATCATCTCCCATTATTATTCACTCCATCAATCATTCTATACGTTAAAGTCTGTTTAGTAGAAATTCGGTTTGGTTTTTGAATGTATAAATTAGTTATCACTTGTTTTTATAAACATCACGGAGTTACTCTCAAACAATTACAATAAATAATAACTACTACCTATTTCTAAGTAATATCATTCAATTCTGAGCTACACTGTAGGTTTAAACACTAATTATATCATCCAGTTGTTTTAGTCAAAATAGTTAGAACGGGATTAGAACCTATGACCTAGTAGTAGAAGGTTGATTATCTGTATTACTAGGTTATCACCCATTATGTTTCTATGATTGACAATTCTGACGACGTATAGATTGATTAAAATAATAGAGTAAGACATTAGAATAAATTGATCTGTATATCTTGTTAGTCTGAAGCATACCACCTAATTAACAGATATCAATATCAGAAGCGGTTTTGTGGAGATTTTTAGGAATTCCAATAGTTGAAATCATGAGTCAATTGAAGCTAGACCACCATGGGAAACCTGGAAGCACTGGGCGGCCGTTTCGTTTTATTATGGGACTCCTCAGCAGTGCGCATCCACGACCCCGCCTCCCGCGACAATCGAACACACGACCTATCAGTCTCGCGTGCGAGCGCTTAACCATTAGACCACTGAGTTAGCCGGCATCCAGCGGTGTTAATGTCTAACTTCAACCAATCCACGAAGTTGCGCCACCGTACACGATTGTTTTTAGTGAGTTAATATCTCACAACAGACCTGGTGAATTCCGCTGGTAACGGCTTCTCACTAGAACTCCAGGAAATGCCTCTTGAAGTCACTCACCAGTCTCGCGCGCGAGACTGATAGGTCCTGGGTTCAAATGTAGCGGGAGGCGGGATCGTGGATGCCCATGCTGAGGAGTCCCATACTAGGACGAAACGGCCGTCCAGTGCTTCCAGGTTTCCCATGGTGGTCTAGCTTCAATTGACTCATGATTTCAACTATTGAGATGTCAATATGTTTATTTACAAAGGTTCAACTTTATAACCGAGGCTTTTTAAACGATACTTCACTCATAAAAATCAAATAGATATTATTAAATAACATAGTCCTTTTAACAGCTTTGTTTTGTTAATAAATGCTTTCAATAATATTTATTCTTGATACTCAAAGCAAAACTCATACATAGAAGACTTGATCAATAAATACATGTTTCAATGAATACAAATCCTCAATGTATGGAATTTCTGAAATCAATGAACTGCAGAAACATGATATCTTTTGTTTTATTTTTAAATAAATAGTCATTACAATAGTTGAGATCATGAATCAATTGAAGCTAGACCATCATGTGAAACCTAGAAGCGTTGTTTGACGGCCGTTTCGTCCTACTGTGGGACTCTTCAGCAGTGTGTATCAACGATCTCGCCTCGCAAGATACGAACCCAGGACCTTTCGGTCTCTCGCGAGAGCCATTAATCATTAGACCACTGAGCCGGCCGGGATCCAACGGTGTTGATGTCTAACTTGAACCAATCCACAAAATTGAACGACATATCCACCATTGTCTTCAGTGAGTTGCTCCACTGGTCACTATTTCTCACTAGAATTCCAGCAAATATGTATTGGAGACTGTCAGTAGTGAGCATATAATCATTATAATCAGAGAGGGGTTTTGTGAATATTATAGTAATTTCAATAGTTGAGATCATGAGTGAATTGAAGTTAGAACACCATTGAAAACCTGGAAGCACTGGATGGCCGTTTCGTTCTATTTTCATTAGGTAATTACTAATTGGAATGTATAAACTTTAGTCTCGTTTTTTTTTAAATACCTTATTAAAAACATTAACTGCTACTTCTTACATGTTTTATTTTAATGGTATGTTAGAATTTCGACGATAGAAAAAAAAAGACAGTTTACATTTATCTCTAAGAATTTCTTTAGAAAAAAACCCTCTTAGTAACTAAAGATAAATGAACTTTGACTACATAGAAACAATAATATAAATCATGACCAAATGTTAAGTGAATATTACTAAATATATCGATTTTTTTTAAATATAGCCATAGAAACAACTGGCTAAATCTTCATGATAGACAGTACGATTATTATTATTATTATTATTATTATTATTAAGAGTTTGTGAGAAAATCTCTACTATATGGAGACTAATCGTATCTAATAGTTTTTTGTTGTTGTTGAGTTTTTCAAAATATTCTAGCGTCATTCAATTTGAGTTGTGAATATCTATCACATCAATTCTATTCGAATCTATTCAGTATGGATTTATGAGAAAAAATGGTGCTTAACTCAATATATCTATGGTGATTAGTTATATAAGTACATAAAAATGAGTCACATTTGTTTAAATACAAAAAAAGAGAATTAATCACTAGGTAACATGTTGTAATCTGTAGTTTTCGGTAATAAAGCAACACTGATACATATGTTAACGGATGATATATCTATTCTACTTTTGAAAAATAATGAGCATACTGCCTAACATTTCACTTTTTATTCACTCACAGCTGTGAAATATAATTTATGGAAATAGACGACAATTGGGGGTGGATGTGTCGCTCAATTTCGTGGATTAGTTGAAGTTAGACATTAACACCATTGGATGCCGGCTAACTCAGTGGTGTAAAGGTTAAGGGCTCGCGCGCGAGACTGATAGGTCCTAAGTTCGAATCACGCGAGGCGGAATCGTGGATGTGCACTGACGAGGAGTCCGATAATAAGACGAAACAGCCGTCTACTTCTTCCAGGTTTTCAATGGTGGTATAGCTTCAATTGACTCATGATCTCAACTATTGAAATTACTACAATCTTCACAAAACCCTTCTGATATTAATTGGAAATTAAACTTTTTTCTTCGTAGGTGTCTTAAAGGATTCTTCATGTATATATGGAATTACCAATTGAATAATATTAGCCGTATGATGTAAGACAGAAATGATGACAAATACTTTTATTGTTTTAGTAAATCTAAACATGTATTACATATATTTAGCTGCTGCTTACACTCATATTTGGCTTAGAAGTTGAACGGAAGCTAGGATCTTCTAAACCAAAACATACCATCAGCTGGTAAATTCAATGACTGTTCAACCCAATTACCTGAAATTTTTATTTGTAATTCGTGCAATAGTCGTTTTCCATGGGGAAAAACATTGAGTAATATGGCTTAAGATCGATTACGAGGGTTCAGATCTATTCATGCCTTATTAACTTCTATATCCTGAAGTTAATATCACTCCTACATTTTTATCATTTTCAAACTGTATTGCTTTTATTTAATTTATTTCTGAAGCTGATATTGTTTCTCCTTCATTCTCCATCATCCAGTAAATTTTTTTATTGCAGTACTCATGTGAGTTTTGATAACTTCGATCGACATATATTTGTATGAGGTTATGGGTTGTTTATGACTCACGGATTGTCTGACCTTTAATATCTGAATGGTCATAATTAAAAAGAGTTTAATTCTAAGGTATGATGAGTCCTTTTAAACTAATCAGTCAAGATTGTGTGTTGTCTTGCTCATGGACCGATATTATTTAGTTTGCTATTGAATAATTGAGAACAATAAACAGTGGAGATAGTGGAAAAGATTTGCAGCTCAGGTGGATGATTTTGACGGAGTTTTGTTTTCTAAGCTGAATGGTTTGGTTGTGGAGCTTTCACAAACTTCAAGTACCTGAAGTTTGTGCTAATGATGTCGTTCAGAAGAACGATGAAAGCTCCATGACCAAACCATTCAGCTCAGAGAACAATACTCTGTCAAAATGAAAAGTTGTTTTATAATACTGAACTCTTAAGGACGGTATCATCATCTATTTGATAGGGTAGTACCCACCGAATTCGTGTCTCTAGGTGAGCAATCGACTCTTGTATCAATTAGTTTAAATACGATTGTTCACATTTCTAACTTAAATCAATTTGGAATCTATCATACTGATCATCCAGTGTCATCAGAAACGACCACATTATTCCTATGACGAATTCTCTGCATGAAATAAAAAGATCGTTTGATTTTTGCCAAATTACGTCACCTATGGCGAAGGTGAGATGTTCGTCTGTCAACAAAAGCACGAGTATACTGCGCGGCAGTTCGTTCTGTTTTATTTTATGGATGCGAAACGTGACCATTAAGAGTTGATGATATTCGTAATCTACTAGTATTTGACCACGGATGCCTTAGAAATATTGCTCCCAACTTCTGGAATCACCAGGTAGGTAATAGTGAGATTAGACGAAGGGTATTAAGAAATGATGGTAAATCAGTTGATGAGGTTGTGAATCTTCATCGACTGAGATGGTTGGGTCACGTGTTACGCATACCTGAACACCGATTACCACGACGAGCAATGCTGACCAGTGTTGGAGATGGTTGGAAGAAAGTTATGCGTGGCCAAACCAAAACGTGTCATCAGTGTTTACAGTCACTAACTTCTAGTCTGAGTCATGTTGGTAGATGCAGATTACTTGGTTGGGGTCCGCATGACCATCGTAACCAATGGTTGGAGACTGTGTGACATGACTCAGAATCGATCACAATGGCGTTGTAGGTGTATACACTCTCTGTCATCCCTTAAACTCTGAGATTAAAATCGCTTCATATCTTACTTTCTACGAACGAACTCTTTCTTGCTGTACTATGTCCTTATATGCCATCTTTCTTTTATACATTGTCACCATTGTATTAACTACTTCTATGAATCCGGTGTTCATGTTGTTGTGCTAATGAGTGAGGTATGGCAACTTGGACCGATGTATATGTGTGTCTGGTCCTACGTTATAGCTGACTAACTGTCATTATTCCCGACGAAAAACCATCTATAAATTAAACTTCTCAACGTAAAAGCGTTTAATCTTGCCGTCCTACTAAGTTAGTAATACAATATGAATGTAAATTCTTCTAAATTTATAATCACATAAACAATCAAATGACCTGCAAACAATGTAGTGTTATTATTCTTTTGTTTGTTTTAAAGTTTCATTCACACCTTAGTTTTTTATTTGTACATAATCCTAGTTTCTTATTTCAATATATAAGGGTTTCATTCATTCATTCATTATGAATAGATTGATTTCATACGGTGGGATAGAGAATATATATATCGTGTAAATATTTCGTTGACCTCATTTTAAACAAGCGTGTTTAATACAAAAATGCTACTATGTCAATTGTTTTATCAATAGAAAATTACATGAGCTATAGAATTAACTGATGTGCATAATAATCAACGTAACCTTGAAACTGAGATAGATCAATAGCAAAAGTTGTATACTTCTTCGTTTTGTTTTTATTTCTAGTCATAGATAAAGGCTTACAGTTTACAAAAGAACGGATGCTTATTTTCGAAAACGTTTGCTCAATTTTAAAATATTTTAATGGTTGAAATCATGAGTCAATTAAAGCTAAACCACTATGAAAAACCTGGAAGCATTGGACGACTGTTTCGTCCTACTGTGGGACTCCTTGGCAGTGCACACTCATGACCCCACCTTACGAGATTCGAACTTAGGACCTATCAGTCTCGCGCGCGAGAACTTAACCATTAAACCACTGAGCTAGCCGGCATCCAATGGTGTTAATGTCTAACTTCAACCAATCCTCGAAATTGGGCGACACATCCACCATTGTCGTCAGTGAGTTACTATCTCACAACGGACTCGGTTGAACTCCACTGGCCACAACTTCTCACTAGAACTCCAGAAAATGCCTCTTGAAGTCAGTCACTAGTGAGCATATGTTGATTCATATCAGAAGGCTTTTTGTGGATATTATGGCCATTTAAATGGTTTAGATCATGAGTCAATTGAAGCTAGACCCGCCATGGAAAATCTGGAAGCATTGGACGACCGTTTCATTCTATTACGGGACTCTTCAGCAGTGCCCATCCACGATCAGATTTTTAAAAACATAGGAATTTAGTTTAAACGATAACGTATACAGAATAGTTTATATTATCCCATGAGTGATGGCATTGAAAATAATGTAATAGACTTTGATTTGTGTTAATTATCATCTCTAAACAACGATATCTAGAATCTTGAGGAGTCAACAAATCCTATACATACATACATACATACATATTTACCTCATATAAGTATATACATGTTCATAACATTTTTAAAAATTAATTTACTTACCAATGGTTAGATGTTATCAATATCGATTTGATGATTCTAGAACCCTAATACTTTTGATTGAACATTAGTAATTTTCTGTTATCCTCCGAAATTAACAATTAAGTAATATAGTTATGAACATCTAGATTTTTGATGAAAATTTTTATTTAATTACAATTATGTCATAGAAATATATTTGAATTAAGATCATCCTAGAATTATATCATGCAACTATTCTAAATACAACATAAGAGTATAATCTTTTTACAAAATCAAAATGATATAGATTAAACATAAGAGATTCTTATTTATATTTGTACATTCTGTTATCGACTAAATATAAGAGAATTTGTTTGGGCTTCTATTGTTCTTCATAAAATGTTGCAAATAATCTCAATTCTTTTAGAATAAATGGATTCGGGATAGAAGTGAAATTTAGAATGGAATTTTTGTTCTATTTAAAACTTCTCATCTGAATATATCTACATCCTATGGTTGATACAAATATGAGGACTTGAGCCTAACACCTATCGCTTTGAGTGACACCCAGTTATCCACTGGGCTTCTGAATTCGAACACCTAAAAACTTGCTCAACGATTATATTGTATATATCACTATTATTAAAGGTTTGAATTATTCTACGTTGCCAAAACCTGCAAGTAATCCTTACTTTTTAATCAGTATTGGTTTGAAACTTTAGATGGTAAGTATACTCAGTCAAAAACCACCATCAATTCAGTTAAAACACCGGACATTCGCTTTTCGTCCTCTCAGTTTCGTAAACAAGATAGTGAGGTAGGACTTCCCTGATAGTGGTTGTATGCACATGGCTATGTGAGATCATTTCGAGAGTGAGAGATAACTTTACTCACTATCGCGGTCGTTTCACTACCACTACTGTTACTAGGTCAAGTATTTGTAACAATATTCTCAACTCATTCTGTTAATTTTGTCTAACTTAAATTTCATTGTCAGTCAGTTTACTGTTTTATTTTGTTTGTAACATTTCCGTTATGATTTAACTATTGTTTATTTATTTATTTGAACACAGATATTGGTACAAGGGGGCACCAGATACATATGCGCCACACAAATCTCATTTGATTTGTGTGAGAGCTGTGATACTACCCGAGTGCCCAAACCGAAGCATGTGGTTTTCTTAGGGGAATACGAGCGAAGCCTTCGACATAAAGGTCTAATCCACAAGGCAGTGGAGCATCGTAAGCAAATGCAGTCCCATGGAAGCCTGTGACCAACGATTGGTTCATACACCATTTGTTCCTTCAGGATACTGGAGCCCATGTGCACCATTAGTTTGGAATCAGGGTTTTCCAACTCCCCTACATGGACTCTCCGTGCCCACCAACCCGATTAAAGCGCCGGAAATTCGCTTTTCGTACTCTCCATTTTGTAAATAACACCCCTAACACGAGAAAGCAGTGAGTAGAACTTCCCTGGCAGAGGCTATATACGCGTGGCCCTGTGAGACCATTTCGAGAGGGAGAGCGGACTCTCCACACTCTCGGCCGTACCAGGGCATTTATGGGCTCGGTTAGCTCAGTCGGTAGAGCATCAGACTTTTATGATTTGACTAAGAAAATGTTGTCCTTCAATTATTTTGAGTCCAAATATAGAAATTAATTTTCTATTCCCTTCATAACTGCAAGTAATTTAATAAGAGGTAAGGAGATATTTTATCAAATATTCGACATGATCATAAATAAATTAGGTTTATTGTAAAAATGATAGCTGTACGGACCTCTGTCAATAGTACGCACCAACGATGTCCACGTATAAGTGAATGTACTAACGCCGCTTAGTTTCAAGGCGAGCGCAATATTGGGAAACGAATGAGTTATTACTAAATGATTCACACTTCACAGTCGTTATCATTGGGGTGATCAAACCAAGACATGACTTCAGTCCATAAAGTCATTGACTACTGGATTGAACTACGTTGATATGCGCAGACTATTTGATTGAGGTTTTAGATGCATTCACACTGCCTTCCCTTGGATCTTAAGTTTTTAAATTATCTCATATTTTTTATCCCGTGAATTCATTCTTTATTATCAATTCATGTTACCTATACCTAATCTTTCTACTACTCTGGCATTTTTCTTGGCAATATCATCTCTCTGTGATGTCATTGTGTGGCAACTTGAATTGATAAATATATGTGCCAGGTCTTACTTTACTTGTGATTGACAAACTGACGGAATGGCATACCAATCGAGGAACCTTTAGAAGTCACACAGCATTAAACACTTGTTTCATTCTAGTGTTTGAAAGTCTACACCTATGGTCCCGCACAAGAACTTCAGTTTTCTTAGTAAACATAATAGCTCAAAACCTGTGAGATTAAACTCAGTGACCAACATCTCTAACTTCAATCAAACTGAGCTAATCTCTACAAATCATCCGACTAAATTATACCATTATTTAATCTTGGTTCCTTTTCTCGTATATTTTCGAGTTTGAATATGGTCTATAGTTGTAGTAATAGTGTCCCAATGAGGTCATTTACTTAACTGCTAAGAGGATATGGAAGAGATGAGAGAAAATACATAAACTAATGTTTTAACTATGCGTCATACACAGAAGTAGCATACATTTTATGCTAAAAGTTATTTTACACATCATTAATTTACTGACCAATTAGTTTACAAATACTAGAACAGAACCAGATAATTTGAGCAAACAAATTTCCCCATATGTTACAACATTATTAACTAATAGATAAACAAATTCAGTTTTATTTGAGTTCTAAGAAAAGATAGGAAGGCGGATTTCAATCCAATTATTTGCAGATTAAACGCTCAATAAGACAACTGAATGTCTTGGGTTCGATCCCTCATGAGTGGTTACTGCTAAAGAGTCTAGAATGAAATAGCTGTTCAACTCTCTGTAGTTTGCAATGGTATTTCAACTTAGGTTGATCACATACATAATATCTACATAAAACTAGAAAGACTAATCAAAGAATATCTAACAGAATAATGATTCCTAGGATTATCTCCACTTTGGAAACTTAGCTAAATCAATGGACTTGTAGTCTGACTGGTAACCAAACACTTAATCCAAATCAGATGCTGTGTAACATAACACAATGTTATCATCATCATATAAATATTAGGAAAATCAACATCTGTTTTTAAATGTAAGTCTAGATGAATAAATCACATATTATTATAACTTCACAATTTCATTATCTCATTTTGCCCTAATATTTATGCGTTTCAGTTGATCGAGGTAATCGTCATTCGACTACGACAGAAACGCGAAGTAAAGTGACCGATGAGCTCCCAGGTCATAGACGCCATCCTCCACCGCCTCTTTCTCCAAACTCGAAAGAAGACATACACTATCCACGTGACGGGACTGTTAGTCGACCTCGAATTTCAGATGGTCCTAAAGCTGGTAAGTCTTAAAACCAGTTCATAGAGGAGCTGAGTTGATCATCTCTAATAATATAAACGATATCTTGATCTCTGGAAACAATATTATTTAACAAACACTGTTTTTACTATTATCTCGATGTGAAATAAATATAGAGTTCAAGTTAGGTGAACTATTTCTACGACAATAACACTAGTGCTCGTCTGTATAGTCATAAATTGCGAACTGCTGTTAGTTGGACAACTAGTGGAAACCAGAAAAGATAGGATAATTGTTTCGTTCTAATGTGAACCCAGGGCACTCACGGTTGGAGGCCTGAGCTCAACCCCCCGATCATTGAGTTGGCAGAGAGTGGCTGTGATTCCCAACTTCACTAAACTATACCAGGCATGAGGCAAGCATCGTTAATTGGAATGGATTATGCATATCACAGACCAACTGAAGTTGAGGATGCGAACTACTGGGTCTCAACCCAGTGACATGGGAGTTAAGCTCTCGATTAGAGGCCTGAAGTTTAATCCCCTGTTGTGTTGTATGTGTGCACTGTGAAAGTTTTGTACTAGGTCTCAACAGCTATCCCGTGCACTTCTAGTTCTTAGTGGCTGCTTATATATATAATATATAAACTTAGTAGAGCTACTAAATAAAGCTACCAAAAAAGCTCTTCCCAACTACAATACTTTAGGTTGCCAATGAATGATCTAAGTGTCAAGATCTACCTATTTAGTATAACATTAGAGGATAGTAAAAACCCAGGGCTTGATGTTACTCACCCACTACTTTTTCCCAAGCACATTCAAGGATAATGCAAATGAGTCTCTTAGGTTTTAAACGTGAGGTACTTACTTCAAAACAAACCTTACAAAAGATGAAATGGTTAGGAGTGTGGCAAATACAATGTAGATCTGCACAGAGGACAGTTGTGGAGTTTCGCCATGAACAATTAGAGCTTACCCATACTAATCATGGCACAAACGTGAGTTCTGGAAGCTTATAACGAGTTGAACCGACATAGTAGCAACCTGAACTAAATATCATAACCGGTTGAGGTAAGTCACCAGATACCTTTGACGTTTCACGGCTTTTGTGAAATCATATCGCGAACCGACCAGACACACTGACGTCACATACTTAGTCACCACACCTTGAGGCCGCAAGCTAGGTCGAGTGAAAAGAGGTGAGACACAAAATGAAGCCCGTTAAAGGCCTATATGCCCAGTTCCCATTCGCAGACAAATGGTGCCGACTCACTACACACGCCATCATCATTACTACATCGTAGCAAACAAGCTAGCATGTAATAGAACAAATACCGAGTCCAACAGGAATCCGACGAGAGCTTCCCTGTTATACCTAGCAGATAGTGCAACATTCTACGCATAAAATGCATCCCACACAAAACCCATAGAAACAGATGACAAAGACTGTTTATTAATGTTTACTAAAATATGATATCAATACAAAAACCTCAGTGCACAGACGAGAAGTAGGAGAGAGAAGCAACGGGATCGGGTACTATTGTTGCTGAATTTGGTTTCCAGTTCGCTGGACAAACTTCGCCATGTTTCTCAAAGAAAATAAAAGCATCCAAAAGACGTATCGCCTCATCAACTGATCTCCCTACAGGGCGATCGTTAACAGTAATTTGACGTAAAATCCCGTTGCGGTCAATGAGGAACATACCTCTAAAAACAAACAAATAAATACGGGGTCAGTTTATGGGCACAGACTCAGGATATGGCTCTTCTTTATGCAAGTACCGCCTGTGTGACATTTGCAATATGATAAATATAGCAGAGATGTGTTAATGAATTAACAAAACGAACCTGAATGCATGACCTTCCTGTTCGTCAAGAACCTCGTACGCTCGTGATATCCTTAGGTTTTTATCAGACAGCAAAGGTATATTCATTTGCCCCAAACCACCAGCTTTACGATCCAATTTCGTCCATGCCAAATGAGCATAGACTGAGTCAGTTGAGCATGCGATTACTTGACATTCTCTAGATTGGAACTCAGCAGCTCTTTCACTAAATGCAATTAATTCCGTTGGACAAACAAAAGTGCTGAAAGAAAAACATCGGTGTTAATTTAATTACGTGAAGTATTGTAAAATTGTTGAGAAACGAATAGTACATTTGACTTACAAGTCAAGTGGATAAAATACCAGTAACACATATTTTCCTTGAAATTGACTCAAACTAATTGGACGCAATTCCGTGCCAACAACAGCAGTGCCTTCAAAATTAGGAGCAGGTTGATTTGGTAATAACATATTTGCCTAAATAAAACACCCCAAACGTATGGAGACCCAAGTAAACTATGACGATGAGATCAATGCGTCCTCTATATTTAAACACTTCATTGGTAAGGGGGAAAACCATGGAAAGCGTGGCCAGCCGTACAGATATGTCTAACTCTCAATACAAGCTATTGGTTCGATTCAAATCAACCAATCAACATTCTGACCGTAACCAAGTAACCTTGAGCAGCCTAACGTGATTGATTGACTGAATTTTCTATCTCAATCGATTAAACCTTATGTTTTGTCCAATGGTGTTTCTGTCGCCTCAAGCACAGTGACCTTCATAATCTTACCTTAACATATCGAGAGCGTTTTTGGATTATCTCAGATGTATTGCTTGGTAACTTTGCTGTCAAAATTACGCTTCGTCCATTACGAAACATTAATTTGCAATGGAAAGTACTTGATCAGTCGGCATAGTTAATGGTTATATAAAGAAAACTAGTTTCTCACAAATAATCTTTTTCGTTGTTGAAATGTTAGATCTAACCTTTTTTACTACGATTACAAGTAGACTCAATATTATTTACAGCTTACATACTTACTTACACCTGTTACTCCCAATGGAACATAGGCCTCCGACCAGCATTCTCTAACTCACCCTGTCCTGGGCCTTCCTTTCTAGTTCTATCCAATTGTTATTCATTCTTCTCATGTCTGTCTCCATTTCTTGACGATTATTTACAACAGTTACCTCAAATTATTAATTTTTAACAAAGCAAAATAGGATTAGTGGAATAAAGTAAGATTATTTGATTACAAGTCTTCCCATTACCTATTAGCACCTTAAAATGTACACACAGATGGTAATCGTGATAAAGTTCCATAAACCATAAATAACCATGGTACCAATGGTTAAAACAGATTATCCATGTGTTAAAAATACTTTGAGTAATTATACCGTTTATTCTTTGAGAACCCTACGACACTATACCAAAGGATGGTAGATTGTTCTTATTCAGTAGGCAAAAATAAACGAACACCTTTGGATTTGGAAAAGAGGAATGTAGAAGAAATGCAGATGACTAATAAATTAAATTCAGAAACAATCTATCCATTGCGTGGTTATGAAAATACTGTTCTGAAGAATTACAAACTACAAAATATGGTTACCGAATGCTTCTGTGTTTTCAATGGTTATTTTCCATCTGACAAAAGTTTGTGATGGAGACCATCGTTATACTTAAGAAATTTAATCTCCCTTCAAGCACCTTCATTTATCAGTTATATAATATATCCTTGTGAGCCAGGGTAATTTTATATTGGTTTTCAGGAGAACCAGACACCGTCCAGACTTTCATGTGACAACCCGGACAGTACAGTTCAATCTCGTTTAACAGGAGGGCTAGACGTCGCCCAAACTTAAAATTTGTAGCCCAAATAGTACTGCTCAATCCTGTTTCCAGGAAAACCAGACACCACCCAGGCTTAAACTTTATAACCCGAGCAGTACGGCTCAATCCCTCTTCACAGGAGAACCAGACACTATATAGGCTTTAACGCTACAATATGAATAGTACAACTCAATCCTGTGGCGCAGCCACACAGGTACCAATCACCCTGGTGGACCACTACAAGCACCATAGTATACTAATATTTGATATTCGGAGCCAGTCTCTCGTGAATTGAGGCATCCACCCCTGTTCATTATCAAAAACTAGAGTTACTAAAATCAAACAAGTATTTGAAGTAATAAGCTCCCTTTCTAAATTTTACTGAAACAATGACAAGACGGAATCGAGGCATTTACATCAAACATTTCGAACAATCCAGTCACACATTTACTTGTCAAGGCATGTTATATGAAAATTAAGAAAGGTCAAATAAAGTTCAACTAGACAAAATGATAATTGTAAATAAAGAATGAAAATTAACACTGTATGTAAAGAATAGGAAATGGTTCATTACCCTAGGTTACAAAGTGACTTGAGGATTACGAGGGCGAATTCGAGGTTACGACGAATTATTTGTGTACATATAATGAGTGTTTGAATTTACGAATAGACAAGGCTTCTACAAACCTAAGAATTCGTCGTTGACAAATTTTATACGTTTTAAAAGATGTACTGATGTCAATTCTATGTCCATTTCAGTTATGTACTTTATTATCGATGAACATGGTTTTCTACTCCCCATCTCTATCGGAGCATTTGACACTAAATGGTTTTAATGCCATCTAAAACATATATTCCATAATTATCAGTATGGGGGTTGTGGAGATTGTTAAGTTTTTGGTTGAGATCATGAACTAATTGATGTTAGACCTGGAAGCACTGGACGACCGTATTCGTCCTAATATGGGACTCGTCAGCAGTGCGCATCCACGACCCCGCACCCGCGGGATTCGAACCCAGGACCTACTGGCTTCGCGCCTGAGCACTTAACCATTAGACCACTGAGCCGGCATCCAATGGTGTTAGTGTCTAACATCAACCCATCCACGGAATTGCGCGACCACCTTCCATTGTACTGAGGTAGATACCTGTCTCTACCCGACACGGATTAGCTCCACTGGTCACGACTTCTCACTAGAACTCCGAGAATTCCCTCACGAAGCTAGTCACTAGTGAGCACATGTTAATTATCAGTATGGGGGTTGTGGAGATTGTTAAGCTTTTGGTTGAGATCATGAATTAATTGATGTTAGACCACCGTTGGAAACCTGGAAGCACTGGACGGCCGTTTCCGCGGGTTGGGGGGTCGTGGATGCGCACTGCTGAGGAGTCCCATACTAGGACGAAACGGCCGTCCAGTGCTTCCAGGTTTCCAACGGTGGTCTAACATCAATTAATTCATGATCTCAACCAAAAAAAATATATTCCATAACCCTGAATTGAATTGTTCGATTAGTCCTCCCATGTATATGTGTCCACAAAAACATGTAAATTGGTAAATGCAATGTTATATAACGTAACCGTTCGTGGAATGTCTAGATCTATGAAAATCATGAGTTTAGTCCTTTCAACCATAACCAGGATAGCAGTATATGTTTTCTCATTGGCTGCTTTTAGTTTATCTTAAAATCATGCTGCTTGGTTCATGCCTAAATGGTAGAGATATAAACACTTTTCTTCGCAGCAGAATGTTATAACTTGTGGCCCTGTGCCTTATTAAGTTATAACGTAATGATACTACCAATTAAAGAACATTGATTCATCAATCGAACTAATGGTGCGTAAACCCATACGATCAGTCTAGAGTCCTTATCGGTCCTTCTTCCTGCCTAGCCCTGCCTGTTGAGTGCAGAACACCAATCTAAGCCTCTGTGATATGAATCATGTATTTCAGGGAACTATGTGTATGATATTTCAGATATACTGGGTTTATATACAAACCAAACAGACCACATCGCACCATAAAATAGGAAACAGCATTTGTACAAGATCTAACCAAAAGTAACTGTTAATGTGGGAGACTGTAATTAATAGACAGGGAATAACTCAAGAATGGTAAATCGTGTAATAATAATCTATAGGTCAAAATGGAGCATAGGCCGCCGACCAGAGTTCTCTAACTCACTCTGTCCTGGGTCTTCCTTTCTAGTTCCAACCAATTGTTGTTCATTCTTCTCATGTCTGTCTCCATTTTTCGCCATAATGTGTTCTTTGGTTTTCCTTTTCTCTCTTGATTGGGAGGTTCGTAGGTGCTACTTCGATTTTGGGTGAGTTCAATATGGATTGGTCAATTTAAGAGTTCCTTAAAGTGCTCTGCCCATCTGTTTCACTGTTCTTTAATGTTGGTGATTACTTTGCCTTTCAATTTGCTTAAGACATGGTTATTTCTGAGATTGCGATAAAAATTATTTTATAGTCATACGTTGTATAAACAGACCTCGGTGAACATATTTCCTTTCATGTCCTCATACAATTGTCAGCTCTTATTATAATCATTAGCATTATTATCATTAATATTATGATTAGTTCACTAGTGTTTTTCTTTAGTAATTAACATCATTTTCATCATTTCTGTCTACCGTAATCATAATAATTTGCACATGTTTCTTCTGTCCGATCACATCATGATCTCTCTTCCATTTAATCCGTTCTACCCATTGAACCTGCATGAATATGAGAAGTATTTACAGTTATTTCTTTTCACTGGTGAAGAAGAAAGTTATTGTATATAGCCTATTATAGTCCTCTTTTATGCCTCCATATGAAAGATAAACTGCCTAACTTGGCTAATTTAATGTATAAATATCAGTTCACTTACTTCTGTGGGGTTAGGTATGTAGATCGTTCGTTATGTCTACTTCGACAACATTTATCACCATTACTTATCATTGGGCAGCACAGATCAATTACGCTTTCTGTTCTGCCGTATGTAAAACCGTGATCACGGACTTACGAATTTGAACCTACCTTACGTAATTTTCTCACCTAATTAATATCCCATTCCTTGATATTCCATAATCAATCACATGATATAGCATTGTCATTTATAGCATGTCAATGATAGTACCTGGTTGATGATTGTCAGCTATGGTTAAATCCCATCCACAAGTCTACATACTACTCACTATTTGGACTTGGGGAAGTTTTCTTTCTAGTTTTATTATAAAAATTGTTCAATTTAAAGCGTGATTCTCACTATAAAGGTCATCGAAATTTTAAAGTGTTTATTTATCAGGTAGATAAGAATTTTTGTTACTGTCTTGTAAAGTTATGAAATTAAAACAGATCCTTTATGTATGCATCAATAGAACACCTTTGTTCCTTTGTGTTTTTTTCTTCACACAGCTACTCCATTAACTCCTACCAGACATTCATCAAAAAATCTTGGTGACGATCCAGAGAAAAGAAAACAACAACAAAAGCTATACGACGACGAATTCAAAATGGAAATAGAGAACCAATGCCATTGGATCCCAGGAAACCAATTACACAGTTTAATTATGGCATACTTCAACATCCAGATGAATATAATTATTTAGCTGAAGCAGAAAAACAAAAACCAACTATAGATTTTGCATCAGAATTATCTTATGATAGCAGTCTTTATGGTAAAATTAGCCAAGGTTCCGCTCGAAAACAACCACCAATTAAGCATTATGATAAGTATAAGGATAAAAGTAAGCTGATAATTTTTGCTTACATACGTATTACAATTATTATTATTACTATTATATTACTTATTCTGCCTTAGTGATTGTAGCGAATGGATGAGTAGCCTTGAAACATAGTACATGACAATCAAAATAATCTGTATTAACAAAGGAAACGATGAACTCCATGTTGTACAAGTTGTTACTAACCTGTTTTGTTATATGGCTAAGATATTCACACCTTAAATGACATCATCTTGGAAATAAACTTTTAGGTTACTATTCTATCACATGCTGTAGGTTATAATCTAGATATCTATCTATCTCAGACAATATACGTTAGTTACTTCGTGGTTTGTTGTCACAATTTATCTGCCCTAGCCCTTTTTTCAACTTACTTCCATGTTAGCTAACACACTATGGCCAGGCTTGTCCTACATGGGACTTGTTAAAACCACAGTCAATTTACCGTATCCATAGTGGATGCTAAAGATTATTTGAATTGTACTTATTCGAGGATTTTATCATACATTTATTAAGTTGGGATATATTACAAGGGATATTGGTAATTAAGATGTAACCGAAAAATCCTATATCACTAGAAATAATACAGAGATGGTTGAAGTTACCAGTAGTTTTATAAATATAGATACATCTTACTAATTAGTCTTAAATAGGTCAAAACTAATATTTCGTGTTTATTCTTAAGCTTCAATTAAAGTTAAAGTAGTGGTGCGGATCCTCTAAGTACCCCCCCCCGCCATTTTGGATGATTTATTGACCAAGTTATACTACTAATTGTAAACACTTATTCATTAACTTCTGATATAGCAGTAACTGTTTGTTGTCAAATCATCAATTCCTGATCAATTGTATTAGAATAATCAGATGGCATACTGATTAAAATGATTCTATAAAAATTCAAAGGATTATATATTTATTATCAGAATGGGTTTTGTGGAGATTTTTTAGAAATTTCACTGGTTGAAATCATGAGTCAATTGAAGCTAGACCACCATGGATAACCTGGAAGCACTGGACGGCTGTTTCGTCCTGGTATGGGACACCTCAGCAGTGCGCATCGACGATCCCTCACCCCGCGAGATTCGAACCCAGGACCTATTGGTTTCGCGCGCGAGCACTTAACCATTATATATTTTAAAGTCAGGTTTTCCATGGTGGTCTAGCTTCAATTGTCCCATGATCTTAACCATTGAAATGACCATAATATCCACATAAAACCCTCTGATATGAATCAACATATGCTCACCAGTGATTGGTGTTCTAGTGATAAGTTGTGACCAGTGGAGTTCAACCGGGTCCGTTATGAGATAATAACTCACGGATAACAATGGCGGATGTGTCGCTCAATTTCGTGGATTGGTTGAGGTTAGATATTAACACCGTTGGATACCGGCCGGCATAGTGGTCTAGTGGTTAAGCACTCGCGCGCGAGACTGATATTAATTTCAGTTGGGGATCGGTCCAATGTTTTAGTAAATCAATTGTTTTCTGTTTTGTATGACTTCAGTAAACTGAGTTTCGTACAAAATAATTATTGATTAATCTCAATTGTAGATTGTTCTCAGTGAAATTTTTACTCAGAATCTAACTAGTAATCAAGGTAGATATTAACAAGCAGAAAAAAGTAACTGTAGATTAATCTCATTTGAGAACAGTTAAAAACCAAGGAGTCTACGTCACTATACATAAAGGTTCGGGGGTCGTCGGCATGTACTGTTCAAGAGTCGTATACTAGAATGAAACGGCTGTCCTGTGTTTTCTGGTTTTCAATGATCCAACTGATGTTCTTGACAAAATACCTTATCTAAGAATCAAACTCAATTTATTGAGGAATTTAGATCTCGGTTTGTTTTTGACGTCTAGTAAAAACTGACATCAGTTTTCTTCTTGAATAATTTCCATTGAGTTGTATATTTCTGTGTGCAGTTTTCTATTAGAGAAGATTCTATTGTTCCTAGTTAGAGGAAACTCAATTGTGTATAAGTTGTTCAAACAGCTGATCTTCCTATTTATAATCCATTTATTAATTAGTATCAGAAGGGTTTTGTGGATATTATAGTAATTTTTAATAGTTGAGATCATGAGTCAATTGAAGCTAGACCACCATGGAAAACCTGGAAGCACTGGATCCCGTCTCGTGAGATTCGAATCCAGGATCTATCAGTCTCATGCGCGAGCGCGTAACAATTAACAATTATCAGCTTAGGAAATACATTTTTATGACACATTTTATAATCATATCATTTTCTGTTACAGTAAAAATAACTTGTTGCTTTCTTATCATTATATCTGATATCTGACAATGTACTAACTTGAACATTAATTCAAATGTACTTGAACTCTAATACAAAATACATAATCACTTAGATCACATATTTTCAAGGTTATTATTGGCACGTCGATTGAATCGTCATACCATACTTTTTTATGTAAATCAGAATACACAACACCAAATTAAGTTATATAATTCTGATAATAGATCAATAAACTCTCAAAGTCCAATGTAGGCAAGTAAAACGCTATAGTCATTTTAAAGTTTGACCATGTTTGAGTAGATTATATTCATCAAATGAGATTATCTGGTAAGGGTAATTATCGTAATAACCTGTGCACACTAATGACTCGGATGGAGATAAAACTTACTGAAATGTCTATCAGAAAATGTAATTTGAAGAATTAACCTAATTGATTGTATGATGGTTGATCATCATTGACACTAGATGTAAATTGCATTGTATCACAAACTGACTGTTCAGTTCTTCTATTTTCAATAATTCTCAATCGATGACTATTATCATTGAAATACAGATAGGATGTTAAACAAATGATTCATTCAACTGTATTCAATCATCCCATTAATAAAGTGATAACTTCTCAAACTTCGAAGTTGTGTGGCAGATTCTCATCTCGCAGAAAGCTTGATTTATCTCAAAACTAAAGGTACGCCTTGCTGACTGATACCATAGTTTCCTCCGCTCAAAATCAAAATATTTTCACTATCAAGATGATGGACTAAAAATCAATTTTACTTACTCTTCTAAAGTAACTTAAGTAAAACATTTAGGGAAGATTTAGTCCTGAGACCATTCAACTTTCAACCATTTGGTTACAAGTTCTAACTATAATTCACCTATTTTAACTTAGACAATCGCAATTAGAATCAGTACCCCAAAGATATATGTACACGAAGAGCGCCTAATTAGTAAGTTGTGCTAATAGATTCTCGCTAATTCCTTTGAAATTAGAACATGGTTAGAAAATGGGTTTCGATAAGTCTGTTTCGTGGGTTGTTTGCCAATTATTGGTCGAATCCTGATGAGAGACAAACATTTAACTGTTGAACTTTGATAACTAGTCCTACCATTAGTATTTGTAAATTTAAGCCTGTAGACACAATGTTCATCCACAAATGGATTTATATTAGACATATGGCTAGATCTAAGCACATACATACATACACACAAAAGTTGACATTTTCATCATGGATAATTTTTAACCAACGTAATGTTAGGCTAATCCATTTTATCAAATGAATTCTGTCGAATTAATAATCAGTGGTCTAATGGTTAAGTGCTCGCGCGCGAAGCCAGTAGGCCCTGGGTTCGAGCCCCGCGTGGTGCGGGATCGTGGATGTGCACTGCTGAGGAGTCCCATAACAAAACGAAATGGCCGTCCAGTGCTTCCAGGTTTTCAATGGTGGTCTAGCTTCAACTGACTCATGATCTCAATCTGTGAGAATTAATAAATGTTTGTCCTCGGGTGAAAAAAAACACCCTATGGAAAAACTAGTTAGTTTATGTTATTTGAATGAATTATGCTTTGAGGAATATAATCGGACTGAACTAATTCACATATTATAATTTCAAACAAATTGTCACCTTAATCATATATTGAGTAATTTGTTATAACTTTTCAGTTGAATGCTGCTTGTTTTGGGGTTAATAAGTCTTCACTTATACCAGTCTTTGTGTTCTTACTTTCGCGTCATGGGAATTGCAGAAGTCTTTCGTTTCGAGTATAAGTGATAAGCGTTTCCGACGTAACAAGCAACATTCAACTGACAAAATATAACAATTGGCGACGGGGTGAAAAAAATTTTAAACCCTCAATCTTCAAATTAACGAATCCAGGTCAACCTGTAATTGAACAAAATTCAGTGTAATTATTTCGAGCAATCAGCATACAGGGTTCTCACCGGTGTCCTTGAACGACATTGATTGTTAATTAATCATACAGTATTTTTCATTACCGTGCTGATTCAGAAAATGGTTATCTCTTCCGATTAGTCACAGTTGCTATCTGAACGACAACAGCATCCTTTCAAAAAGAGCCAGATGAATGTTTTAGACGTTTTACGCACACGGCTGCCAAATCATCCATGTTTTGGAGATGTGACAGAAGTTGATAAATTAATTTCTAATTTGCATACAGAGCTGGAAAATGACTGCAGCACTTATGAACACGGCGATGAAAGCCTCCGTGAATCCTTGATCAGTGGTAATATAAACGAAGTAGTAGCAGTTATTCATGATCAGCCCAGTGGTCCAGAAATGTCCATTTCAGAGACATGTCCTATCGTGGGTTCAAATCCCATCCCCGTCGCCAATTGTTATAACTTGTCAGTTGAATATTGCTTGTTTTGGTTGTCGCTGATTGTTACATCGGAAACGGTTATCATTTATACTCGAAATGAAGGACTTCTGCAATCCCACGACGCGATAGTAAGAACACAAAGACTGGTATAAGTGAAGATTAATTAACCTCAAAACACGATGATGACGATGACCTTAGTCGAAAAACACACTCATTTATATATTGCTGTATACACACTGATTAATAATTCGGATGAAATCACATATATGAGAATTACTTAGAGTTATAACAAATCATATGCTGAGTATAGTTCATGTCAATGGAATACAAGAATATCGCATATTATACAGAATAAAATATCATACGAGACAATAAAACAACTACTACATTGAGTAATCATTACATTGAAT